ATATATATAATGCTAAGTAAAATTGAGTACAATAAGTCATGAGCCTATTCGAGTCCAATTAACTCAATTTGAGCCAGTTAGATTTAATTTTGAGCTGAATCAAGCCAATTCCGAGTTGAAACGGATCCAAATAGCTCAATTTAAGCTAGCTCATCTCAATTTCGAGCCATACGAGCTCGATCCAATTTTGAGCTGGCGCGGCTCCAAATCGAATGTAACGAGCCACTAGCTGATTTCGAGCCACACTAAATCTATTCAAGCCAACCCCAGCTTTGCTCAAAATCGGATTTTTAACAGCCCTATTCATGTCTCTCTCTGTTGTTCTATGATCAACAACTGATTATTCATCTTTCCCTTCTCAAGGTTTTCCAGCCATTGCTTCAACCAATGGTGACCCCAGAAACTCTTCCCATGCATCCCGTCAGAGAACTCCAAGAGCGCTGCCAGCAACAGGCGGAGGGATTGGAGTACAAATCTTCTCGAATGGGTAATCTGGCTACCGTAGAAGTCTTCATAGATGGCGTCCAGATAGGAGCAGCGCAGAACCCACAGAAAAAAATGGCCCAGAAGCTTGCAGCAAGAAATGTGCTAGCCTTTCTGAAGGAGAAGGAAGAGAAGGAGAAGAAGGCGAAGGAAGAGAAGGAGAATGAGTTGAGAAAAGATGCGAACCATGGAGAGAAGAATGGCAACAATGGCCAGGTGTTTACCAGGCAAGCTCTCAACGATATATGCTTGAGGAAGCAGTGGCCGATGCCGCACTATCGGTGCGTGAATGAAGGCGGCCCTGCGCACGCCAAGCGATTCATCTACGCGGTTCGCGTCAACACATCCGATCGCGGGTGGACGGACGAATGCATCGGGGAGCCGATGCCCAGCGTTAAGAAGGCCAAGGACTCTGCAGCGGTTCTTCTCCTTGAGCTTCTGAAGAAAGTTTATCCTGAGAACTAGTAGTCTGGTTTTCTTATGCTTGATGATGATGAAGGTTTTGTTTGCTTCAGGACTTTTATTTTGTTTATACAATGTGATTGGGTTATTTATTTATTTATTTACTTATTTATCATTGGAAAGAAAAATATTATGTCGAGTCCGGATGTATTTGGATTTCATTTGTACGCAATGTATAACGATTTGTACTTGTACAACCATATTGTACGATGTATTTGGATTTCATTTGTACGCAATGTATAACAATTTGTACTTGTACAACCATATTGTACGCAGTTTGCATCCAGACTGCATCTATTATTCTATCTGCGTTGACAATGGTTTTATTTAGGGTACATTGTTTCAGGTTGATTTTCTTTTTTTAATTTCATGTAATATATAATTTCATATTTACCTACTATTTGTTGTAATTTCAAAATTTGAATTCTATAATAATATTTATTTCTCACGAGTGTGTGTTAAATTATGATATTAGTTGGACATTCATTACCACAACAAAATGATATGGGCTTAAGGCTGATCCTTGATGTAATCCAATTAAAATAGGAAAATTCTTTGTCAATCCTCATCCGCTTCAACATTAGTAACAACTACATATCTTTAATGACATGATTATAAGTCATACTATCACTTTTTTTTTTCCAACTCTTCAAAATACTTATCTTAGAACTTTATCAAAAACTTTTTTCTAAATCAACAAAAATCATACGTAGATTCTCCTTACGTTTTATGTACTTCTTCATCAAACCTCTCAATAAATGTATAACTTTCATTGAAGCCTTGTCAGACATAAATCCAACCCGTTTTGACGAAATTTTTGTATCATGTCTAGCCTATGTTCAATCACTCTTTTATGATACATTAACTTGATTTCTCTCTAATTTGCACACTCTTGTGTATCTTTCTTATTTTTAAAGAGGGCCAAAATACTCATTCTTTGCTCATCAGGTATATTTTTAATTTTCCAAGTCTTTACAGTTAAATTAAGTTTTATAATTTTTTTATATTTTATCTTTTCTTACACATTATTATTCAACAAGAAATTATTTTTTATTTATAAAAGTTTTCTTTTTGATTCTCCAAGTACATCTTTTTCAATTTGTTTAATAGCTTGTGCTCATTATTTTTTCCTGCATAGCATTAACTTCTTGATGAACATTTTAAATTTTAAGACCATGAAGTTTACTCATAAAAAATAATTTTATTTATGTTTTTTAAGTGCCTCCTTATTTTATGAAAATATTTCAATATATTTTTTATCTTATAGCCTTTCAACTTAAAATTCAAAACCAATAACCAATGCTGAGTACTTAAATTTTTACTTAGAATAATTTTATGATGTTTACAATCTCTATGATTTATTCTTCTAATAAGAAAATAATTAACTTATGTTTTATTAGATACATTTTTATAAGTGTTAATATGTTTATATCTTTTTCTAAAATAAAATATTATCAATAACAAAATTGTAAGCTAAAAAAAAATTAATCTTCATTAGTTACTCCAAAACTGTAGTCATTATGAATATTTTTAAAATCTTTTATATGAATATTTCTAAAATCCTCCACCACTCTACCAACATGTCCATTTAAATTCCTTCTAATAAAAATTCTTTCTTCAAGAGGTATCGTTTGTATTAATTCTTCAAATTTTCTTTTGAACCTATATTTAAACCTACTTAATGAGCATAAACACTTGTAACACTAAAAATTTTTATGACTATAATTTTATCATCAATTCTATTAATTTTAATAATATTATATTTTGGATTCCTATCTATAATTACACATTATTTATAGTACAACTCCTACTTAAATACTAAAGTTTAAAACTTAAGCAATGAATCTCCTTAGCAATTTCTCAAATCCATTTAGTTTCTTGAATTCATAAGATATTTATCTACCTACGAATCATAATATTTACTAATTACATTAGTATACGTATGAGAGAACCAATATTCTAAGTTCCTATTCTAATATTAGTTTCATGAACTAACTTTTTTGCTTGCATCCATGCAAATGTGGGAGTTTTTGCTTATTTAATACTACACTCAGACTCCGGTGTAGCGAACCTTGCGCACTTTTCATTATACTCAAGCAATACATCACGTCCTTTCTAAGATGCCATAGTATTTACAAAATGATTCAAAAGATTAATGATCATGATTTTTGGGTAAAATCTTAAGCTGTTTGTTGACTACTAACACAACACTGTATTTTTTCATTCGGGACTTTAGACCCAACAATGCCAGTGTAAAAATATTATTGTCGATCTATTAAATAAAAATATTCTTTTTCTTTTACATTAGTTTCAATTGTAGAAAAATCTTTGGATATAAATTTCCCAATAGTAACTCATTCTAGACCATCCATTATAAGAGTATTGGTAGATGTATATGACACCCTACAATTTCTAAGCTCGATCTATATTAGTTTGAATGACTCTATTTACTTAAAAATAATGAGGATTCTAAAATTATGAAGTAATTATTATCAGTTATTTAGTCATGAAGATTATCTTTATGGTCAAAAATGTT